AGGAGAGAAGTTCCCTGAACATAACCAGGAGAAAGAAACAAGGAATCAAATTGATCTTCACTGTTCTTCTCTCAAAACCTAGGGAAGGAACACCTGAAAAAGGGACAGGAGTTGAAAGTCCTGGCTGCATAAGGAACCCCACTACCCCATGCACAATGGCCATCATATCATTCTCAGTGAACTTGCTTCTATAAAACATAGTTGATACATATCCTATGTGAGTAAATTGTTCTCTTACACAAGTAGTAGAAGACGTTACATGAACTCGCAAGTTTGTAGAAAAAAAGAAGGAAATTAAGTTCCTTAAACTTTACAAATCTTGCTAAGTTTAAAAAAAAACAACATATGTGATGTGTTCAGTGCTGAGGAAAAAAAATGAAGATTTACAAGTGCAAGTGCTTATAGGGAGTTAGTGTACAAGGACGTGTGTCACCCTCCTATTGGTGGATGGCTTCTGTTGCATAACAATGTCATTATGCAATAGTGCAATTCATGAGAATTATTGTGAGATTAGGTGAGAGTTCACTAAAGGCTAATTGCAAATCTCTAAAGCAGACATGTAGAAAAGATAGCTGTATCCAGAGGTGTGGTATCGTCTCGGAAACAAACCACACAACTGGTGCACTGAACAATGCAAATGCAAGTTAAGGTGCTTTTTCAAGATCTTCAAATGTGTTCAGTTGGGAAAGAGAAACCAAGTTACATATTCATATTAGCACAAATTAACATTACACAAGCTCATTTTTGTTACAATCTACTAGTAGGTAATTTGACATTTTAACACTTCACACGATGCTGACCACAACTCAGCAACTGATATATATGCCAGAGGCCAATTTGGTGAAAAGGAAAAGATGACTGTGCAGGCCATTAATGGTTGGGGTCTTAGATCTAGCCTGATGTGTTGTTTATAGTTAGCTGGTTTTTATCCCTTTCCAGACTGAGGGGAAGTGTCACTGGTATCTTTAATTTTTTTTCTTTCTCACATTGGAAATATCAAACAAAAATTATATGAAATTTAAAACAAACTTACCAAATAGTATTTAGTGTTAGCTTTAAAAATTAATATAATTTCATTTAGCTTTACATATATATATATACACAATCAGTTTCAACAAGGTTAATATTCATTAACATATTCATTTTGATGCTTCATTTAGTTAACTGCAGTAGCCACCAATTAATGCTACAAACCATAAAAATCATTGCAAAAACTACTAACGAAGAACTTATCAGTGACCTTAACACCTGACCAGTTAGACAGGCATCAGATCAGGCCAGGTACGAATATTTTTGGCCAAAATCAATTACATCTAATAAAAATATTTTACTTTCAATAAATTGTAGGTTATTTTATTTGAGTGGATTTTGTGAATAAATTAATCTTAACAATAATGTTCAATAAATAAGGATATGGTCACACTGTAATCACAAGAACATTTTGCCATCATTTACTGTAATCTCTAAATACAGCTAAGCTTATCCAATGTCTTTTCATAGAAGAACATTTTAGTAGCTTTTAAACAAACATAATTTATCATAAAAACGTTTTCAGAAATGAAAAGAACATTTAAAGTAACTACAAAAAACCCATAGATCTGTGGTTTGATTCTAAGTATTCTAAACTTCCCATTACATTCCATTGTTCTACTGTGCACAAGCTAAGTCTTGTCACTTTGACACAAAACTCTAGGTTATTTCTCATGCCAGTTAATTCATTTTTCAATGGTATTTAAACTATGCTGTATCTATTTTAAAAACAGAGTTAGATTAGTAACTGTTATGGTCACATGTATGAAGTGATAAAAGGGAACAAATGACACATTGTCCTAATAAAATCAGAGAAAGAGAAGGAAATCACATTGTATTTTCAATGCATGATAGTTTCCTCGAAAACTCTACAAATGTGTTGTCTTCAAACAAGGCTCTTCATAGCTTTGCACAAGTGCACATTTGAACCCGTTTTTGTGAAAATAAATGTTATAAAATGACAAAATATCAATCTTAAAATATTTTTGAGTAAAATATTGTTCAGAGTTAGAATTGTTATTTTGTTCTTAAGTTTTAAAATTTGATATACAAATGTGCACTCAACACCTGAAAGGTGCTCTATCTAATTACGTAAAA